GGCTCGTACATCGTTCGATTTTTGGATGACCCGGGCCCAAGCGTTCTGCCTGTGCCTGCGCATCTCTACTCCACCGCCTTGGACACCGTCTGTGGATCGTGGTGTTTAGAGAAACATCGTTCGCGCCCTCTGGGCGACAACCGTGGTCGCACTCCGCTCCTTGCTGACTCCTTACCGTCGGCTGTTCCCACCATTCCTTCTAAGCGTCGTCGTTTTCATATACCAATCGGCCTATTTTGGTCTTTTGTGCCATCCTTCTCGCCGACGTTTTGCTTCTTTCTTTTTCTGTCACCTTCCGTTTTGTTTTATGTTGTTTTGTTTTGTTTTTCTGTCTTGTCTCTTTTCTTTCGTTGGCTTATTTTGTTTTGAACGCTGGGGCAACGCCGCCTCAAGGCACGCAGTGTCGAGTGATCCTTCTTCCTTGTTGCCTGCATTCATCTGAATCAGTGAACTGCCGCGACCTGGATGTCCGTTCTTCCTCGCCTTTGCTTCAATTTTGTTGTTGTTGTTGTTGGTCTTTGGTTCTCTAAACAAGCTCCCTCCGAAGTTTCGTCGGTGTTGCCTGCCTCTGAACACTTGGATAAAGAGTTCCCCAAGTTTCGTCGGTGATGTTTACCTCGGGACACTTGGACACCGAGTTCCCCGCGTTTTGTTTTGTTCCATCGTGCCGCAAAAGTGCCGCATACGCTTGGTGCTTCGGGATTCCATCCCGTGGCGTCGCCTTCTCCCATGGATTTTCGTCGTCACCCACACTTCGTTCTGCTTCGTCTCCATCATCGCCACCTTCGGGCGACGCCTTCATCACAGTAGCGCCCCTGAGTCGTCGTCTTGTTGTGTGAATCTCTACGACTTTCTGTGTTTTATGTCTTTCAATGGTGCGTATCGCCAGCGAGCCATGGCACAGTTCGTCGACCGCCTCTCTTGCGTTGATCGCTTGTGCTTTGCATCCTTGGTCCTCATTAGGTCTTGCCCCTGCCGTCTCCTTATACGGGTTGGGTACCCTGGCACGCTGGCCATCGTTCGCCGTGCCTTTGCCGGTCGTCCTTTTCTCCTGCCCTTCGTTATCGTCCTAGATTGCATTGAGTTTTCCTTTTGCGTCGCGTCCAGTATCAAAGGCCGTATTCGTTCGGAAATTTGTTTGGGTTTTGAGTTTCGTCACCGTATTTTGGACTCGCTCGGGTAGTCACCCTCATTCCTCCAGCGGTGATACGCGCGGGTGCGCGTAACAGAGTGGTGTGTGGCGTCTGGATATTGATTTTTTTTGCCCTGTCGCCGTCTGTTCAGGATGTTAGCGTGCTCTGCCGCAATATATTTTCTTCGTAGCTTTATCCCTTCAATCGTTGTCATTGAGATGTCGATGTTCCGTCTCGTGACCGTTCGCATTCTTCATCTCAATGATCATGTCAATGATGGTGTGGGGGATCAATTCGGGAAATCTCTACAACTCACCCTCCTTTTGGATGTTTTGTGAAGAGTCATATCTTCGATTCATGATCATAAATCATCAGCTAAATCTTACTTTTTTGAAGCTTTAGGAATTGAGCATTGGTTTGAGTATAGAATCTGCATATATAATATTCAGGGTGGGCTAGGGTTAAGGAGTGTGGCTGCTAGCATGAATAGGGTACATCTTATTGTTGATNATGTCAATGATGGTGTGGGGGATCAATTCGGGAAATCTCTACAACTCACCCTCCTTTTGGATGTTTTGTGAAGAGTCATATCTTCGATTCATGATCATAAATCATCAGCTAAATCTTACTTTTTTGAAGCTTTAGGAATTGAGCATTGGTTTGAGTATAGAATCTGCATATATAATATTCAGATTCTATACTCAAACCAATGCTCAATTCCTAAAGCTTCAAAAAAGTANATCTAGGAGCAAGCTACCGCCCACGTCATCACTCCTTGAAAGCCGCCTTCGATGAGATATCTCATTTTTTTAGGAGAGGGCCCTTACGGAAAGCAAACTGCGGAAAAGGAGGGTCTATAAAACGGTATGTTGATGAGTGAAGGAGAAGGGTTCAAGGAGTATTTCCTTCACCACCGGATGCCGGGACATAGTTGAAGGCCGTGTTTTGGCCTGGGGGCACGCGTCGACCTTCGAAAACTTAGACGGACACTTTGGAAGGTAGACGAAGACGACGTCAAGAAAGTTCAAGTGTACATCGACTCCATGCCAAGACCTGCTTTTTCATGAAGTTGCGAAGTGCTCGTTATACGAAAAGGAGAGAGAAAATTACGTGACGGACTTGATGGAAATAGAAGTACGCTACAGAGAGAAGCTCGCGGCATGGAAAAGCCAGGAGAAGACGGAAAAATTGCAATACTGGGGTATAATAACGGTCTAGACTAAGCCGTATGTAAACCGAACAGGGATCAGATGTTTGAGCCACAGTTGGCAAAGTAGAAAGGAATGATTGACTACGGGCGATCAATCATGTCGGAACAGCGCTCTGTCCTTACAAGTACGCGTGGCGAATGGTCAATCAGCTAAGCCCTCCATAACCTGAGTACGCCGTACCCCCCCCTGGTACGTGCCTCGATTATTGTGAACGAACGCAGATCGAAGACATGATTCGCCAGAATTTCTCCAAGCCCGGGTATGCTGTCGAGTCCATCCCCTTCATGAACGAGGTCTTCGTCTCCGGTCCCTACAAGT